ATGATATAGTGATTTATGATGCTAACTGCTTCATTCGAATCCCAGAAGGGATAGAGTATGTGTGCAAGAGGGCACTCAAAATGCACAGCGAGACAAAATTCTTTTGAGGGGTGTGGGAGACCTCCGAAATCTCTAAGAATTCCGAATTGGGCGGAACCTTAACACTTAGCTAAGCATAACAGTACCTTCACCCTTGGTACTATAGAGGAACTGTCCTAACTTATACCTGTATCTATAATAATTGAACAAATTATAGACAATACAGTTGTGGTTGCCAGAACTTTTAAAATGTGAAAAGAAAACTTTGCCAATAGCAGATTCAAATGTAATTAATTTTGAATAAGCAGAGTTTTTATATCCTTTTTAACTGCTGTATAAATAATTATGCAACAGTGTTAGGGGGAAAAACAGTTTTCACTTAATTAAAAGTTCTGAATTGAGAAGAAAACATAGTATCAACATTAAATTGAAGGAAAGTTAATTTTTTGCTCAAATCTATGTTTCTTGAATATCTGACAGCAGTTAGGTATTCAGCCTTATTTCTTCATAAAATCGTTTGCATGTTATATTTCTATAATTACAGATGAACTGGAGTTAAATGAATCACCTGAAACATAACCGTGCAGAAGGTGTAAGGGAATTTTAGCAAATCGTAGGAATTGACCATTCTCCTTAGTTTTCTTCATTAATGTGGTTATAAGGTATTCCGAAAAGGGGAGAAAGGACTTAGTAAGAGTCCACAGTGATAACATTTGCTAAATTAAGAGGTAACCAAAACGGGCATGCAAAATGCAGTGAAATACAAAGCTTATATAGTCTGTAAAGCTATGAAGTTTCGTGAAATTTTTGGAAACATGCTTCGCCTGAAAATTTGTTCGTCTTCAGATGAGAGAAAGTATTCGTGAATGTTATATGTTGTTGTTCCTCCTCAGGATCAGGATATGTCCTACTACTTGCTTCATTATTTTTTTTCCCGAAGATCGGTAAATCAAATGCCGGTGGATGTATAATCGTAAAATTTCATTCCTCACTTCCTCACAGTCTTCTACGTTGGCAGTGTGGCGTAGCTAGGGGGACATATGTCCCCCGGCACAGCATCAGCATCCCGGAGGCGCCAAATTGATGCTACGAAATGTTTTAATAAAATGTTTTCCATTCTTGGCACACAGAAAGGGGCACAAATTCTTCAGTTGTCTCTGGGCGCTGGAATCCTACCTACGCCACTGTACGTTGGTGCCTCGACTTCACAGAAGGGCCCCCAAATCGAATAGAAAGTTTATTATTATAAAAATTTAAATATCTCCAAAAAGTTAGCTTTTTCATTGCTGAAGTAGTGAAGCAGAGGGAGGGGGTAAAAAAGTTTTTTGGCCCGAGCCTCAGTTAGGCTAAATGGGGCCCTGATAGCAGCCACCTGTTAATGATTGCAACAATTTTAGCTTAAAGTAAACTCTAATGTATTTTTTGTGTTCTGTTATAGAGTCTACAGTTCACTTTAGCAACTATAGCAGAAATTTCCAATCAAGAGAAGTTTTGTTGTTCATAAACCAGCAGTATTTTTCATTCAAAATCTTTTTGGATTCAGCCATCTGAAATTCCAAGCTTCAGTGCAGGAAATAAAAGCATTATTTAAATAAAAATCAATATTCAGTCTCTAAGAATGATCAAAGCACCAAAGTGTGTCTTTTTGTTCGCTAAGAGATAATAGGTTAACCAGTATCAGAATAATTATCACTTAAAATTATGAAAAAAGCATACATACTAATTGTTACAGATTTTACGCACAGATAAAAAAAAGTCTAATAAATATTTGTGCTCAAAGGGAAATTATTACTGTAAAATCTACTATCTCTGGTAAAAAAATTTTATTTTTTCCTCTTCCGCCTCAAACTAAAATGGTAGGATACCAGGGCTTAATTTTTAAAATTAGAAGTGCCGGAGTCCTAAGGCAAGAAACATATGATTAAATTCAGGGGCGTAGCTAGAAGGGGGCATCTGTCCCCGGGCGCAGAATCCAAGGGGCGCCAAACTGATGTTACGACATTTTAGAATTAAATGTTTTCCATCCTTGGCAAGCATTAGGGGGCGCGAAATCTTCAGTTGTCCCTGGGCGCTGAAAACCCTAGCTACGACTCTTGATTAAATTAAATTTAAAACTAATGTAAAGAGATAGAGATTTCGTAAATTATTAAACTATTTATCAATAGTTTAATAAAAAATAAATTATCGGTCCTTATCATTAACCATCGGCTGCTAGTGGAATTACAAATCCACTCAGAAGCTAAGAAGTACCAAGGCCGATATCCGTTTGAATTAAAACCCTGATTATACATATAATATACTATTTTAAGATATGATATGTACAAAAATCATTCTTTTTTTCAGCACACCGATGAAAAATGATAAAAGGATTAAGGTATCACAAAGGATAATAGTGAGAATTCTGGAAACAGTATCAGGATATGGAAGGAAATTTGACGAGAAAAGAGTCCAATATTTTCTGATCGCTATGCCTTTTCCCTCATACATTCCGATAACAACGTATGAATCCTCTATATATGTGACAGTAGTGGTTTCCTGCGTTTGGTTATACCGTTCAAAAAAGGTACAGGAGCTGTGCAATAGGGAATGACTGGAACGTCATGACTAGATTGATGGCTTTCAGGAACGAAAAATTAACCCATTCTCATAAATTCATTGCATCTCCTAGGAAATAAGCCTTTGCATATGGGTGGGGGCATTATTTCCTTAAAAGTCTCATCCTCTGTCCAAGGTTTGTGTCCGAGGGAAAGATAGGTCTACGTTCAGAAGTTAGAATCGATTTTTAAGGCATATTTATTATTAAAATTTTTTTTTTTTTTGCTAAAATCGTGGTTTACTTACAAAACAGAAGTGCCGGAGCTCTTATTTAGGGCTCCTGCTCGCACCTACTAAAATTATGATTTATCTCAAAATCGGAGAAGTTCCGGATGTGGACTGCGGCTATCACCTGGTCTAGAGACCAATAAATACATTCTAAAGGCCCGTTTACACTAGTGGAACTTTAGTCCCAAGAAACATACGCTAACGTTAAGTTGTTACTCCCAAGGATCCCACCCGTTTACACTTGTAAGTCTCAAAGCCTAAGAATTACTACCCCCAACCAATCAAGTCGCTTTGATTTGCGCATGGGCAATATTTCCTATTTTGGGGTACAATGTCGAAAGTTTGCGGTAGAATGTCTAAAGTTAAAAAAGCTGAAGAAAGAAAGCGCGTTATGCATTTGAGAAGTAATTTAATATGTATGTATTTGCTGTACAAAAGCGTTTGCGTTCCAAGGCGGGAATGGGTTCGGTCAATTTTTCAAGAGCGAGATACGTATTCCGCTCATGCAGCATTGTTTCCGTCACTGAGGCAGAAGTACCCAGAATTATTTTTCAATTATACTCGAATGACGGCAAGTATATTTTATTTTTTAGCAAAACCTGAAAGTAAAAATTGAAGGAAAGACTGTCAAATATTTCTTTTTATATATCAGTAAATTAGTAATTTTTTCCCTTAGTAATTTATACTAAGGAAATAGGATTAATGATTACATTGCGATTTAATTACCGACAAAATGAATAATTTCAATGTTTATTTTGGTTAATCTTTGGATTATGGTAACTCGGCGATTTTTTGCGAAAATTTGGCGACCAACCCTGCTACAGCAACCTGCTAGTTTTTTTTTTTTTTTTGGGGGGGACGCCATTTTGTTTTCACGAAGTAAAAAGTTTTTTTTTTTTTTTTTTTTTTTTTTTTTTTACTCAACATTTTATTCCAACTATCTGCTAGCCGAATTACGCTTATGCTAGAAATTTTTATGGACACAAAAGTGCTTAATCATGACGAAGATTAGGTGCGAAATTGGGAGAAAGTGCAGAATCGCCCACTGCTTGCCGCGTTTTTAAGAATTGCACATACACGGTATCATCCATGTACACGTCGACCTATTTTCACTTAAAAAAAACATCTCAGAATTGCACAAAAATGGCATTGCGCACACTCTTGACTTTATCCATGTACACTGCTAAAGTCCTAGCTAGTAACCTTTATCGCCTTACCAAAATGTCGCCAAACTACCTGTTACCATATTCCAAAGATTAGCCTTTATTTTTTATATAATTATGGACTAGCATTAGTTATAACTAATTAGTTTAATTGGTTTATTAAGCGCATTATTAATGAAGGTTGTTTATAATTCGATTACCTTAATGAAACATAATATCAGATGGAGTATAATGTAAAATTACTAGATGTGCCAGATGTTGGACAGTCAACATTTTAATGCACTATCGTGTATTAGGATATGTTCCTCTGTTAGAAAATACCCAGCATTCTGTATCCGTAGATTTTTTAATTATTACTGTCATGAATTTTATTAGTATTGCTTCACTTTGTCATGAAAATACTTTTGTAGAACCAGAAATATAAAATAATTAGGCTTTTAAATAATATATTCTAGAGAATTTGGGAGATCCATAAAAAGACTTGCTTTTAAAAGATTTTCTGCATTCCTGTTCCACCTGTGTTTTATATTTGACAAATGAGCAATAAAATTAAATCATGTCAATATTTTAAAAAATCATTTTTGGAGAATATTGTAGTAATATGATGAAAAACACTTTACCTCCAAAAGAATGTAAGAATAATTGTATCAAAATAGATTACTTAATGAAATTCTACTACCTGAAAAATTAAGCAATTATTAGAGTATAAGAGTGAAATTGAAATGGAGAGTAATTTTCCTTTTAATCAGAATTATCATATTTTATTTTTTCAAATTTGTAAGATAAATAACTGAATATTTTTCACTGATCATAGTTGCAGCAACACAGTATATATTTCGGCAATATAGTATATAGTGATGCCCCTCATGTTGAGCACCTTCAATAGTCAAAAGTATTCCTGAGAATATAAACAAACATTGGTAATGACAATCACAGATAACCATATTCTCTGAAGGTTGCTATAATATCCTCGTCGGTGGCTAAATAAATAAAAACACTGAACATTAATTGTTCAATACCTGATGAAAGGGTTTAGAACATAGGCATTTTGTGCATATCTGTCCAAGATATGAATGTAAATTAGTTTACCTTAAAAAATCTTCCTGATGACATTATTTAGGTTAGTAGGGTTACCTTTAGGCAGGTAACCCTAGTGTGTGGTGCATAATCAAATAATCATGTTGAAGGTGATCACCTTCACAGAAGGCTGAAATCATTTCTAATTATGGAGTTTATGTTATTTTTGTTAATAACATGCGATTAATCGCTAAAAGTGTTAATTGTTAGAAATAGTAAGATTATACTTCAAGCAATTTTTCAAGACAACAAAATTATTTTCTCTTACTTTGGCTAATCATTTTAGCACAATATAAACTATTTTGTATTTGTTTTTATATTAATTAGATAATTAAATATAGTTCTGATGTTCAATTTACTCATAAGTATAATATTATTGAATTTACATGTAGGGAGAACAATATGATCATCTTCTACATTTACTGCAAGATAAACTACAGAAGCAAGAAACACGTTTTAGGAAATCAATTTCAGCGTCTGAGAGACTTGCCATCTGTTTAAGGTAAATATAAATATATACATTTGTTTTGAAAGCAGTGTCGACGCTAGACAATTTACCGCCTGGTGCAAACTCCACAAATCCGAAATTCTGCCACCTGATTCCTTCCTAAATTCTAATAATTTTGCCATCTGGTGTGGTCACCCTGGTTGCATATGCTCTGGCACCAGCTCTATTTGAAAGTCTTTATTACATCTAATTCCAGTTTTGTGTAGTATATATAATTGAAAATTAATGTTCTTGTCAGAACATTTTATACTTCTGTCTAATTGAACTTTTTAAAATTCATATTTTTTTTAAATTTGTAATGCATTTAAAAAATTATGAATAGGAACATAATTTTATCAAAATAAGTTACATAAATAAAGCATTTATTTTCTGTGGTTTAATAATAAGAAAGAAAATTGCAATCTCTTTGAAACTGACCCCCCCCCCAAAAAAAAAAAGAACCTTTTTTAAAACTTGCATACTGCTACAGATTGCCCTTTGTTCATTTTTATACAACATGTTTTTAAAACTGCAAAAATTTAATTATTGATTCAGAATGTTTTTGTAGATTTCTAGCATCTGGAACTAATTATACAGACCTGGCATACACTTTCCGTGTTTCTAAATCTTCAGTTTCACATATTATTCGAGAGACCTGTGATGTCATATGGCAAGTCTTACAGCCACTGGTTATGGCTATACCAGCATCATCAGATGAATGGGCTGTAATAGCAGAAGGTTTTGAATATAAATGGAATTTTCCCAACTGTGTTGGTGCAATCGATGGTATGTATTATGTCTTGCATTCCATATTTATTTGTCAGTGAGTACTTTTGAAATACAAAAAAATTGCATTATATTAAAATTAGGCAAATGAAGATTCTTTTCAAAGATAAATATAAAATATTGCAGAATCATCTAACTTGATATATGAGCTGTCTTAAAATATCAAAAGACTGGAATTGTTTCATAATAAATAAATGAAAGTGTGAAATGAAAAACAAATTTTAATATAAAAAGGAATTTTTTTGCAAGTTTCTAATTTAAGAACTTTTTTAAGAACTGAATTTATTATTGGAAAAAGTATTTATATTAATTTTTATCATTAAAGTGTATATTATTTTTCTTTAGGCAATTAATAATTGTTGCTTTTTTTTTCTTGTAGGTAAGCATATCAGAATACAAGCTCCACCGTCAGCTGGAATCAACATATTATAATTATAAGGGCTATAACAGCATAGTCCTAATGGCAGTGGCAGATGCTAGTTACACTTTCCTTTATGTTGATTCAGGCAACTATGGACGCATCAGTGATGGTGGAATTTTCAGTAACTGTTCACTAGGTAAAGCTTTGGTTAGTGAAACTTTGTTTTCATTGCCAAATCCAACACCATTATTAAATAGTGATCGAGTTTTGCCTTTTGTATTTGTTGGAGATGAGGCTTTTCCACTCAGGAAAAATATTTTACGCCCTTATCCTGGCAAATTTCTGTCGAATGAAAGAAAAATTTTTAATTACAGACTTTCTCGAGCAAGGAGGTGCGTTGAAAATGCTTTCGGCATATTGGCGTCTAGGTGGAGAGTACTTCGTACTGAAATTGCCCTGAACCCAGAGCATGCTAATAAAGTAGTTTTGGCATGCTGTTGCCTTCATAATTACTTAATGAAAAATGAGTTGGGAAAGGCAGCTAAGAAATACTGTCCAGTGAACTTTGCTGATTCTCTTCTTTCAAATGCCACCATTAAAGAAGGTATGTGGAGAACAGAAGAATTTACATGGCAACCTCTTGGCCGTCTAGGGGCCAATAATTCATCCCGTGCTGCATCTGCAGTTCGAGATAATTTTTGTGAATATTTTTCTGCAGAAGGAGCAGTACCATGGCAAGAAAGGAAAGCATTTCTTGTGTAAATTTATTTTTTGAAAATATTTATGAAATATGTAAATAAAACAATAAAACAACTGATTAGTGTTATGTACAAATAATTTCATTTATTTCTTGCCATAATTTGTAAAAATTGTATTTTCGTTTCCAATTTTTTTTCATCAGTCATTTTTTTCAAATCACTATGGAGACTCAATAAAAATAGTTTATCATCATCGTCATCATCATTTTCACATCGATGGTGATTTTTTAAATATTTATTTGTTTCATCAATAACAGAAAGCAATGAACTTTCAATTGTTTCTTTCTTTTTTCTTTTCTTCCCTCTAGGAGTATTTTCATCATTATTATTTGAATTAGTGTTATCTAAGATTTGTCTGGAGCTTGATGCAGGTGATAAAGGTGATTCACATGAGGGCATAACGTGAATAACAGATGGCTCCACATATTCAGGTTCTGTCGGATATTCAATATTATCTGAAGACTCGGAGACAACAGATTCTACTGTGAAATTAAGCTCCTCGAATTCTTTGTTTCCTTGAAAGTTTGTCTGTGTCCTGTTTAGAAAGAAAACAAGGAAAAAAAATCAAATGCATATGAAAAATATTTTTAATACATTAATGATTATTTTGTGATACAAAGTAATTAGGTAGTGAAATAAGCAAATTTAGAATCTTATTTGTTAGCTTTTTAATTATTAGTGAAATAAGCAAATTATGTTGTTTGTTACTGCTGCTTTTTTTTTAATTTTTATTACTTATGAACTGCAGACTTTTTAGATCTTAAAATTTAGCATGAAAAATAATGTAAACCAAGAGTCTTCTTGCTTCAGTGTGATTACCTGAAACGCTTTTTTTTTTTTTTTTGTTAATTTGAATTATAACATCCCATTGGATTCTTTTCTTACATAATCTTTTGTGTTTATTAATATTTGCAAGAATAATTTCTAAAAAAATACAGTTTGTTACATCCAGTTGTATGGGGTAATTCCTAGTCATTACGTTCTTGGAGCAGTGCTGGATCACATTTTGTTTTTAATTAAAATAATATTTTATCAAATATGGGGAGGGGTGAAATCATCATCACTCTTTGAATCTTTTGTACTGCAATATACAACCAAATTGTCATATTTACTCACTAATAATTTTATCGTACAAATATAGAGAAGGCAAAATGACATGAATAATTTATTTTCCGAAGTATGGTGCAAAATAAATAAGGTGTATTAGATACATTTAATTAAATTACATACATTACTGCAATAATTTATTATATGCATTAAATCTGTCATTGTATTAACAAGGGCTGAAATTTAAAATATTCTTAATTTATCCACAAAATATCCGGATAAAAAAAAAGGCAGCACTAAACAATCTCGTGAAATAACAAAGCTCAGAAAATACAACAACGTGAATCATGAACTTGAACAAAGAGTGAATCGTCTATTGAACTTGAACAAAGAGTGAATCGTCTGCTTTTTTACCTCGATGCAGATTAGAAGGAAAAAAAACTTATCTTTTTTCTTAAACTTTTTATGTCAATAATTTTGGTATTTCCATTATGACTCATTATTATTCAGTTATTATGACGTCATTATTCGGTAAGTATTTTTTCTTCGATATTTCGTACTCAATGTTGCGGTTTCCGAAACCAAGAAACTCAGAATATAAACTGAATGCTTATATTCTGAGAGGCAACGCGGATTTCAGGAGTTGGCGGATTTTCGGTATTTGACTGTATTTGTAGACATTAAGACGAAAAAATGGAACAGATTATTGGACGTGGAATCGCATCTCAGATTAAAATTAACAACCAGGGAACAAAATTATGACAATCTGTCATCTCAGCACAAACAGTTTCATCCTTCTCATTAATCCAAATAAATGTTATTTATAATGTAACATTTATTTATATTAATGCCATAGAAAATCAAATTTATAGTAGTGAAGATCAGCGGGATTATGAGTTAAATAACATGGATGTAAATATTACTATTGGAGGCTGCAATTTAACAGTTGTGATGACAGTGACAGTATATAGATATATATAGTAATTTAAAGAAATCAATATTTTAGATGAAAAAGAAGAATCTCTTGCCTTCATTGAAGAAATTTTGAATATGCATACAAAGCCCTTACGTAATAAATGAAAATATTGAGCCACTAATAACTCTTATTTCTTTTTATAGAAACACAATCAAAGAATGATTAACATATTAAATATAGACAATTAAATATTACAATGAGAGATCATTATGTCATGTGATATTAATGACGAATTACGGTTCTTTAATAATGAATCATTTTGTAATGTAACATCGTGAATTTTGGATATGACAGTGAACAGTTAATGTTTAACTTAGTAAACATAAGTATGTAAAGATGAAACAAAAGTTTATAGTAATCAAGATTCATTAGGTAAGTTAGTATTTTAATTATTTGAGATATTATTTTTATGCACGAATTTGGTATTATTAAATATTAGCAATGATTTAGTTAAAGTAATTAGGATTGTAAGTTATTAATAATGTATCAATGATAGTTATTTTGTGAATTTTATATTTTATAGGAATTTGGTATACGTTTTATGAATAAATGCAGAAATAATTTAAAATCTGACACTAAGTATTTGTAATTTTGAATGACTATAATTTAGATGATTTAGAAAAAGAATGTGGAATGTTCATATTTGTAAATCTTTTTGCGATCAGTAATTTCATATAGTTACCGGGTTTAAAGATTGAGAAAAAATTTTGAAATTTTTCTAATTTATGAGAAAAAAGCATGTACATGGATATATGAAGAGTGTGCGCAATGCCATTTTTTGCAATTCTATGTTTTTTTAAGTAAAAATAATTACATATAATGAAAAATGATAAAGTATATTGCACTTTTCCCAATTTTGCAGTGAATATTTGTATGATTAACTTTTAGATAAAATTTCTAGCATAAATTCTTTTTAGATAAAAAGAAGAAAAACTTTGAAGAAAAATAATAACACAATTTTTAATTATCAAGAGAATTTATCAAATTTTTTGTATCTTACAGTTTAAGACAAATTTTATCTAATCTTGGCTTACACATTTCACATTCTATAAATAAAAAAAGATCACTATACTTTGGGGACTGTTTTGAAAAATTTCATGCCATGAAAGATTTTAACAGTTAATTCAGTAATAAAGTATTACAACTTCATTTTTTAATTCAGTTTCATATATATTTTTGTATTTATTTTCATTATGAATTAATGTAATAATTTAAGCACAACTCCTTGATCTGATGGTATATATTATGATAATTAATCCCAGGCTTTATGTGTTAAGTGCAAAGTAACTTCATAAAATTAAAGCAGGTATGCATAATCTCAAACACTAACTTCTGAACATCAAAATGGTCAGTAACACATCAGTTTTGAGCTGTGTGAGTACAGAAATATGGGCATCAACTATAGAGGGATAAACTATAAAAAGAAATTGGCCACAAAAAGAAAAAAATATATATACAGACGAGTCTTCATCAAAATATTTAGAAACTCAGCTTTCAAAGGAAAGAGCAAGTGCTTTGTTTATATTATGCATATGCTGTACTTTGTTAATAAGTTTACATTGCAAAAATATTGGCCTATTTTTAATTGGGAAGATTAAAAAAGTACAGAACAGCAAAGTTTCTACAACATTTTTTAAGGGTAAGAACTTCAGTTGGCCCAAACACGTTAGAAAAAAACTATAATGTGTAATACAGTTTTATTATAACACATTTACAAGGTGTTAAACCATTCATAACGAGTGATGAGGCAATAAATGTTAAAAAAAAATTGTGTAGGAGAAGTTTTTGTTTTCCAGAGCGTAAATATTTGGATAGAATTTGAGTTATGGCAAAGCATATAAGGTCTATCTGCCTAAGGGGAGGAATTTCTTAAGTAAATTGGTTTATATCCACATATGTGACTATCTAACATATTTAATAAATTTATATCAATAATAAAGTTACAATTTTTGATTGCTAGTCAACCTAGGATAACTCCAAATAATCCATTTATGCTTTATAATATTACAGACTACTAACAAGTAAGATTGTATTTTGTTAATATGAAAATTTATCATTTTATATTTAACATAACTAAATAATTTGGTTCTGAATATTTACCTTCGATGGCGGATACATGGATCCAAAAATGACATTTGGGGCATCAGATGCCATTGCTGCTCTGCAGACTCTGCACTAGCTCCACTTTTGCATTTTGTTTTTCTTCGGCTATATTGCTTACGCAGATTCTGCCACCGGTAAGTAACCTCTTCTGTGAAATATTGCGAAATTTTAATTCAACCACGTAATTAATTACAGATTATGCTTCCGGACTAATTCAAAGCTAACCGAAAAAAATAAATAAAAGCTAAAAAAACTGTTTTAATCAAAAAATTAATTAACACTGTAATTAATTCTTACTTAATTTTAAATTAATTATGTTTATATTATTGCAATAACTTACAATTATATATATTATAATTATATGAGATTCAAAATGTATCCATACGAAAATGAAATATGGATCTTATATATTTTTATATATGGATATTTATATATTTAGGGATTTTTTATGTATTTCGGAATAAACATTTGCATGAGAGAAATGAAGAAAATGTATTTCTGAAAATTGAGGAGGAAAACTTTAATCAAATTTTTACTACTGTTGATCTTCACACTTACTACTTTTACTTTCTTCTTCTCATAAGCCTTTAGTAACATGTTGCAAAAAAGAAGAGCAAACTAATGTAAAGACAATAGCTAAAAATTATGTAATCATCTGAATTGCTATAATTTTGGGAAAAATTTTAAATATATATAATTGAAGGTTGCTGCATATAATTTTCATAGAACAGTGTACATTTAGATACAGTTTAAAGCAGTTAATAAACTTTAATTTTAAAAAAATCCATCTACTGAGCTTATTTAAATTTTATAAAACTCAGATTTTCAGAAATGTTCTAAAATGCTATAATTTAATATATGTCAACAAATTTTTATCGTGTAATCGTTATTATTAAACCTATTTTGTACTTGAACAATTGCGTTAGTCGAAAGAGAACTAGAATAAAAGAGAGCACATTGCAATCCGAAAGGAGCAAAAAAATAAATAAATGGATACATACCATCTCGGTTTCAGTCTTTCGGCAACCAGTAGCCAAGCAACGTCTTGTCCTCTTTTCATTCGATATTCTTTTTTTCTATTATCCCATAAAATCGGATGTTGTTGTACTTCTGCAATTAATTTGCAGTCAGACGTAGTCAAATCTTCCGCCATGTTTTTCGCTTCATCAAACCCTCGTCAAAAAACAACAAAACCCTCGTGATAGTTTGTAAGTCTGTAATTGGCCAAAGCTTTCATCTCATAGGTTCGGAGTTAAAATTTTCCATCTCTTGGGTTTACATCAATTCCCTTTGAAGATTAACCGCTCGACTTAGGCTACGTTTCTTAGGACGTTAACGTACGCTTCTTGGGACCAAAGTTCCGCTAGTGTAAACGGGCCTTAAAGTGCCACTTATGTTTGAAAGTAGGTTTGGATCATACATACATCTCTCTTCTAAATAACAGATGTTTTTAATAATTAAAAATATGTACGTTTTAATTCATTCTAAAAGATTTTTTGTTCTGGGATGGGACACTTACAAAAAACAAAACTGATAATAACGTTACGTAAAAGCATAAAGTACATTAAATAAAATGAAAGTGATACGTATAAAATACAAACTACCCGGCATCTGAAATCGAACACTATTATTTACATTTTATAATTTAAAAGCATATTTATTTCATTTGTTCCAACGTTTTGCAGAGTAAAATGCGTATTCCACATAAAAAAAGATCCTTATCAAGGTAAATGAGAAATTTCTTCTGTCATGAAATAATAATTGTATTCCTAATTTTGCATAAAAAACACCTTTACGGTTATGAATGAAGCAGAAAAGTAGTATCTCAACGCTTTGTGTACAACATTGTTTTGATTCTAAACTATGCGTGGTGACCGACTTTTTTTATACCTATTGTTTTCCTTCGATGTATTTTCTGCTTTTTTTTTTAATTACTGATAATTTTTTGTATATTCTGGAGTTCAGACTATCTTACCGAAATAAATTATTTCCATTTTTTTTGTAAGACTGAACTGTGATAATGTTGATATTTTAAAGGGGCAGTTCCCAACGACTTCTTATAACAGGTATATTATCTCGTTGGCAGTTCCCTGTTGTATCATATATATATATGTCAAATAATTTGTCGAAAAAGTCAGAAAACATTTTTATTTGTAAGCATCAATGATATTATTCTGTCTTATTAAACTTAGTTTATTTCTTTTTTTAAATTCCAATGATAAAAAAACCGCATATTGTGGATTTTTGTGTGAAATAATTCCTTGTAACGCCTTTTGTTATTATTATCGCTGTACTGAGTTGGTACTTTAAGAAAATTTAGGTAATTTGAATATTATTTAATCTAGTTAATGTAACAGTTTCTTCTTTGAATTGAATCGGGATGTAAGAAGGGGGTTATTTTTAAAAATTAAACAATTGATCCTTACTTTTATAGATGATAATTGTCTTTAACAATGTTAATTTAAAGAAAAAGATAAACAGTGAATACAGCTAAGGCTTAAGTGATCATCTTAAAGCTCCAAAAATTCATATGATAATAAGAATTTATATAATAAGAATAAATAATTTAGATAATAAGAATTCATATGATAATAAGATTTAATGTTTTGCCGCTATAAATGCTGTTTGGATCTTTTGAACTGGCAATTTAATTATGTTCAGGTAAAACGTTAAAATGTTGGCTTTTGCAGACTGAGAAGTTTGGTACTTTTCTTTCATATGTTTTTACCAGTTCTACAATTAATAAATATATATTTATTTGCATGTAGTTTAGCATGCTACCTTTAAAATCATTTATCCTCTTATATAGCTGATTAGTAATGAGAAGATGGAAGACCAGGCTATGTTTTCAGAAAATCTGCATTCGAAAGAATTCCAGTGCCCTGTTTGTTTCAAATATTTCAGTCGAAAATTCACATTAGGTGTGCATCTTCTTATACATAAAGGAGTGAAACCTCATCCTTGCCCATTTTGTGGTAAAAGATTTCGTCAGAAAGGAACTTTGATGCGTCATAAAGTAAGAGTCTCTCTGTGTATATGCACTATTTAAATTTAATCTGACAGTTTACTCATATATTCTAGACTTTTTTTTTTTTGTTATTGTAAATAGTTTTAGTATTTATGTTTTTATGAAATTCCACTTTCATTGAATTTCATGGTACATTTTAAACATTTTGTCATTGCTTCAAACATTTGTAAAAATGCTTCCCTGATAATAATTTTATACACAATATAAATATTTACAGGTATATACATGTTGACATTATGTACATATAAATTCTATTTATATAAGTGCATACGATGAATTTATTTTTTGTGCATTAATTTACATTTTTTCAGCTGAATTTTTAATAGCAAAAATCTCATGCCATTATGATACATTGTAGAATTTTTTAAATAGTAATAGGTGCATGAGTGATGAGTGTTAAAATTTTAATACATGTTTAGCTGTTATCTAATGTGCAAAAAAAAAAAAAAAAAAAAAAGAGCCAGGAGGTTTTTGAGACTTGGTAAAGTTTTAGGTTTTTATTTCCTTTTAAAATAAGGTCTCCCCAAATATAGTACTCTCCTTTAATTTTAAGCTGAATTTTGTGACATAATTGTCTAATATTTAATGAAAGCATGTGTTTGATTAGAATGCATTTGATTCTGATTAAAATCAAAACTAATCTACTAACTGAATACCAGATTCTGTTATAAAGTAAAAAGTAAATAAGGAAAAATTAGTGACATGTTATCTAGTTGTTTCTATGCCAAACATGTCAGTGACTTGTGTAGTGGATGCAAGCCAAAATTTAAATTTCTGTGCTAGATGTAGTTATTGTAATTGGTGGCTGTTATGCAGTTTATATATGCAGTAGTTACTTGCACTATTTATTTCAACACTGTAATTCTGTATAGTATTATAACAGTAATGTACATTTACTTGATTTAGAAACAAAAATTAAATGAAATGAAAACTCAAAAGAATGATGTTAAAAATATTTTATTTTAAACATAACATTAAAAGAATTACAAGTTTAATGTTTACAGTTTAATCACATAATGCTATACCGTGGCCCTTGAAAGATAACTACATAGTTGTCTTTTCGCTGTCTGCGAATGATGGCACAGTCCAAATTCAAGGGGAGAGGAGAAAAAAGGCCTTCCTGAGAGTTCAACCTCGGAATGAAGGGAGAAAAGTTAATACAATTTTTGATTTGTTACAGCCTCTCCCTTTGGTTCCAATGTCACCCCGAGGAGAAATCAGCATTAGGTTTTCTGGGACATCAAGTTTGTAATAGTTGCACTCATCAGAGTTTTTCATGTAATCTGTGATATACTTGTGCATTCCTGTGAAATAATACCTTTGAGAAATTCTATATGTCCTTTCAGGACCATAATGTCTTGCAACAAGAGCATTATGATATTGCTTAAGAATTCTTTGTCGTTCATGTGTTGGTACTACTAGTTGAGCTTCTTCTGAGTCAAAGTCTGGAGAATACCAATACTTGATTCCTTGATGGTCCTTGTCTGGTCCAGTTAAAAAAAAAATTTCAATTTTTATGTCACTTTTGAAAAATTTTATGATCTGTTTCTGCTGCACTTGTGGTTGGCATTTCAATGGCTATCATACATAATCAGTGTCTTCACATGATTCTCTTTCATGGTTGAACACAGGTCATAACAACATACCAGCTATAAAATTTGCTCTTCCAGGGATGTTTTCCATCTATAAATAATAAGACTAATTCCATAGTTCACCTGGCAAATCTATCCTTAAAATCCATTTCAACAGTTGGTGATTAGATGCTGCAGTAATCTCTTGACCAACAATATAGCCACAGAATAATTCAAGCAGCAAGGGCAACAACATGGGCTCGTTCTGTTGTAGAGTGATTTCTTTGCGCTGCTGACAACAAATGGCTAGCATATTCTATTGGATGTTCCTTTGAACCTTTTTCTTGTAACAGCACAGCACCCAAGACATAGTGACTGGCATCTGTTCAAATAATTTAGGGCTTTGTTGCATCAAATTACTTGTTTAGCATCTGTTCAAATAATGCAAGGCGGTACTTACATATTATCGCAACCAGGTTGGCGCGATTTGTAAGTTTGAGTAAAAAAGTATGAATAGAAAGAAAATGTACATTTATTAATTACAGATAATTTTAATACAGTTTTTTATATTATTTTGTTTTAAAATATAAAAAGCAATTAACTCTTTCGGCTTCGAATTTGAATAAGTTGCAGAATTATTTTTTCGGCGGAAATCTTTGGCTATTGCTTTTAGCACTGACTGAAACCGTCTTCGCCATTAACACTTGAGCTTGGCGCCATATAAATTTGATAAGTATGAATCAAGATGATGATGGGCTTTTCCTCTCTGTTTTTTTGTGCGCATTTGGCTGAGCCCCACATGCGTCTACATGTTGTGTGTGAACACCGTGTTGGGATCCACAAATTTATATTTGTGAATAACATTCCATGCAGAATCCAGTATTTCGAACTCACTTGTATTGTTCTTTTCCAGCAATCCGAATAAATGATGCTTCCTTCCTTCATATTTCGCAAAATTTTTTACAGGAGGAAAACAGCGCTTCTGTTAGGTACAGTAACCAAAAAAGTCTCTTTCTTTCCCCGGCAAATTCCGTCGAAAACCCATTGCTGTAGTAGTACACGCCCAGCGTTATTTTTCTTTTTACAAATAAATTCTTTTTACAAAACTACGCATAACACGGGGTTGCCTTAGGTCGCAAAATTTGGCGATTTATGCGAATTTTGGCCTGGTTGCGTTAATACGTAAGTACCTGCAAGGCTTTCTTGTATCAACTCATTAGTTGCTCCTGTCTTAAAGCTTTAAGAAGGTAAAGCTAATGAGAAGTATTTTAATGTCTAGGAAGAGTTTTCTTCATCTGACCCCCATGTCCTGCATATGTTCTTCTTAGTTACATTACTTAGAAGTCTAACTGTCTCTGAAAATTTCGATATGTGTCAGGATCGGATTTACAATAAAGACTGCACTTTTTTCACATTTCTTGAAGCAGGCATCTTTTGTATAGCAGAGGTTTCTCTGGATCAACCTCTACTCCTTCAGCAGTAATCCAGTGAGCAAGATGCTTCACTTTACTGTGGGCAAAACTGTTCTTGCGATTTGCATTAAATTTAAATCGCAACAGTCTCAAAAACTGCTTCTAGATCAGCTATATGTTTTTCAAAGCCTCTGATGTTTCTCAAAAGTACCTGATAGTATTATGATATCATATAAGTGAGGGAGAACAACCATATCTTTCAGGTCACTTCAGAATTTATCAATTAATCTCTGAAAAGTGACCGGAGCAGGTTTCAATCTGAAAGGAATTCAAACGAAATGGAAAGTTCTGAAAAGCAAACAAATGCTGTTTTGTCTCTCTCTGTAGGCAAACATGTATTTGATGGTACCCAGACTGCAAATCAGTGGTTGTCATATATGATCTATGTTTAGCACCATGTGGTAAGTCATCCATCTTAGGTAATGGATATGAATGTGACATCGTAACAGCATTCAGTCCTCGATAATCGTTGCAAAGTTGAAATTTTCCATTTAGTGTGGGTGCAAGAATCACAATTGCAGCATATGGAGACTCGCATTCTTCTCTTATTTTCTTTTCCAGCAGCTCATCAAACTTCTTCTTCTTTAAGATATTCTTCCTGGCTGGAGACATGTGGTATGGGGGTACTGAAACTGGAGGATTATTTTCAGTATTCAATATAGGGAGTTGCTTCTCCCCCTGGTTGGAATACAAACTCTTATTTTGTTAACAGAGCATTGAGTTTTCTCTTTGGTTTTCAGTTATATGTCTTCCATCATTTTTTTGCAATTGAAATGTTTTAAAGTCTGCATTGTTTTCTGGATGCTCAGATGATTTGAAAACGTCATCACTAAAGCTAAATTTCTGTTTAGGATCCTCATGGAAATACCATCTTTTTTTTTTTAAGTTCTACTACAATTCCAGCACTGCATAAAAGAAAATCAGTTCCTAAAAGTGCTCTGCTGTCTTTTGCTTTAGGTAATGCAAATAAAGTTAATTCGGAACAATCATTCTTCAATTTCATTATCTACTGAGGTCATATAAACTTCTATTTCCTTCTGGAGACCATTTTGAGGGTAACATTCATACTGTTTTTTTAAAATTATATTCTTTCTCTCAAAAGGTGATATCGTCTCTTCCGCTTTAGTGTAGCTGGCTTTAGTGTCGGCACATACAGTTCTGGTTATCCCGTTTATTTTTACTTTCAAAGTAATAGCCTGGGGTTCCTCGACAGAGAATGCTTGAAGGTGAAATCAACTTCTGCTTTCTTGAGAGGATGGGAGCAGATAGGGCATTAAGCCTTAATAAAGCATTTAGACTTCACAACACCACCAGATAACAGCTGGTTGATCTTCATTTTTTGCATTATCTTGTGATGAGGGGTTTTTAGTATGTTGCATTTTTTGGGACAATACCTTGCTAAAATTTCTATTTTCTATGTGTCTGACTTCTTCATACAAATCTAATTTGTCCACAAGCTGAAGTGGATTATTCCACTTACTCCAGTTACCCAAATCAGTTCTTTATAATCTGGAGGGGCTTTCTTCGTAATTTGATCTGCCAATTCTTTAACTGCTTAAATGTTGTGACTTTTGATTCTTTAAGCCAGGGTTTCTTAAACTTTTTTCGGTCGCAACCTCCTTTTTATCACTGAGATTTTTTCATGACCCGCAGGACCACATAATATTTACAAAAAAATTGTGGTACCCCATAGCATTGCGCAAATCCGACACACACGTGAGTGAAACTGCCAATTTTTTCACTTGTACTGTAATATACTATTGCAGTTTTAGGTCATTAACTTTAATTTCTAAGTTTTAATTTCTAATTTTAAGACATAGAACAATGTTAAAATTTTAAATAAGTAACAGACGAAATAAGAATTTGTTTAACTTTCTGATAATCCTGAGCATCATCTGAAGATTCTTTTCAAATTAGTTTTGCACCATCAGTTGGTAAAAGACCA